ATTTACCATGCGAATATTACCAGCATTACATTACATCACAATTATTATAACTGACCACTCCGTCGCGAAATGCTAATATTATATCGATCAAATAATGTGCCTTACATGAATTACGCATAGAATGTACTCCATAAGAAATACAAAAACAAATTTGTAATCTTAATATGTTGTTTTTATACAACATTTATCATGATATTGTTATTGGCATTGTCATCAGCATTATAATCGTCAACAACACCTAACCATTGTGCACTGATGTTACATATATATGTACATAGGACAAATCACCACAGGATGATGTTATTATTTTTTACTATTCTTTGTAATACAGAGCACAGATAGGAAGATGATTAATCCCGTCGCTAGACTGTCAATTCCCTGTGGACATTCGGAGGAAGGGAACATCGAGGTAAAGCGAGTGGATCCAAAATGACTGAGGTTTGGATCCTAGTAGGTCGGAAGTCTTTCATGTGGCTACTCCTGTGGGTACAGTAACGTAATTAGAAGACATTAATGTCGCATTTCCATACTACAACAGATTCACATGAATTTCCACACTACAATATATTCATAATATCCTACCTTTCCTGAGGTCTCTCGATTTTGGCCAATCTCTGCTTCTGAAGGTGATCCAGTCGAGCGCTCAGCTGCCGGACGCTATCGAGCGCAGCGCCCAGGCTCTGGGAATCCAACCTTTGCCCCAAGCTCTCCTTAGCCGGGAGGACCTTCTGCTCGCTCAGGCGCTGCTGCCTGTAATAGTCATCGGAAAACAGGATTTTCTTGCTGTATGAAGACCCTTCCGAAGTACTCACGTCCACCACACAACGACTGCCACTGGCGGCTGGAGCTGCCCTGGTGTCGTCCTGAACATAAAAGAACATACGGTACAGTACAAACACAACACCGTATATATAAATGTGCAGAAATAAATGTTTTGCAATACATGATCACTAAAAAATCAACTTACATGATAAAATTGCTGCCTGAAGAATGTGTAGAGCATGCAGCAACTCACGAAGGCCAACGGAAGCGCGACGGACAAGGCCACCACCAACACTAGCATCAAAGGCGACATCTCCATCATGAAACAGACTATGAGTTTAGCGAAGTAAGGCGAAACTGTTACTCATTACATGCTAAATTCTGGTTATATATGACCCTCGAGGACACAACCTTGTAAAACGGTATTACGTTTGTTTGGTCGTTTGGAACTTCAGCTCCACGGGTAAGCTTCCCGCGTCGCCACGCGAGTAGGAGAGACTTCATTTGATGTTTTCACATTTAATGATTAAATAAGTTATATCTATCTGTCTATATCTATATATTTATATATTTATATCTATATCGATCTATCGATCCATCTATATCGATCTATCGATCCATCTATATCGATCTATCGATCCATCTATATCGATCTATCGATCCATCTATATCGATCTATCGATCCATCTATATCGATCTATCGATCCATCTATATCGATCTATCGATCCATCTATATCGATCTATCGATCCATCTATATCGATCTATCGATCCATCTATATCGATCTATCGATCCATCTATATCGATCTATCGATCTATCGATCCATTTATATCGATCCATCTATATCGATCCAATCATATCTATCTATCTATATCTTTATATTTATATCTATATCGATCTATCGATCCACCTATATCGATTGTGTGTGTGATCCATTTCGGTTTATTCGTCTGGAGACTAACTCGTGAAGAGTTCGAAACATTAAGATTTTTATTAATTTCTTACTGTGGGGGATGGCCGGCCCATCCCCCCCACTACGTAACCTCAGGGTGCAGGATTCCCTGGGAGGGCTTTGCCCTGCACCCGTCATAACAGGCTCGTCGTCCTGATCAGGTAAGCCCCTGGTCAGGACACCGAGCCAGGGATCAGGAACCCCCGGCCACAAATCGGGGTCGAAGTCACCTCCTCCAGGATGGCTCTGACCCTTTCTCTTCTTACTTGTTTTGTCTGCTGGTAAAGGGTTTTTACGGGACCGGGTTGCCAGCCCGACCCCAACTGCTAGCTAGGGGCAGGGACGCAGAACTGCCTCGGGACAGATTGCCCTGCTACCCCAATCCATCTATATCGATCCATTTATATCGATCCATCTATATCGATCCATCTATATCGATCCATCTATATCGATCCATCTATATCGATCCATCTATATCGATCCATCTATATCGATCCATCTATATCGATCCATCTATATCGATCCATCTATATCGATCCATTTATATCGATCCATCTATATCGATCCATCTATATCGATCCATTTATATCGATCCATCTATATCGATCCATCTATATCGATCCATTTATATCGATCCATCTATATCGATCCATCTATATCGATCCATTTATATCGATCCATCTTTATCTATCTATCTATCTATGTGTGTGTGATCCATTTCGCTGTATTCGTCTGGAGAGGAACTCGTGAAAGTTTCGAAACATTAAGATTTTTATTAATTTCTTACTGAGGCTGTTTTCCTTTTCATCTTTGTGTACACGTTACTGTGTTTGTCATATATATACATATATATATACATATACATATATATATATACATATATATATATATATATATATATATATATATATATATATATATATATATATATATATATATACATATATATATACATATACATATATATATATACATATACATATATATATATATATATATATATATATATATATATATATATATATATATATACATATATATATACATATACATATATATATATATATACATATACATATATATATATATATATATATATATATATATATATATATATATATATATACATATATATATACATATACATATATATATACATATACATATATATATATATATATATATATATATATATATATATATATATATATATACATATATATATACATATACATATATATATACATATACATATATATATATATATACATATACATATATATATATATATATATACATATATATATATATATATATATATATATATATATATATACATATATACATATATATATACATATATATATATATATATATATATATATATATATATATACATATACATATACATATACATATATATATATATATACATATACATATATATATATATATACATATACATATACATATATATACATATACATATATGTATATACATATACATGTATATACATAGATATACATACATATATATATATATATATATATATATATATATATACATATATATATATATATATATATATATATATATATATATATATATATATATACATATATATACATATATATATATATATATATATATATATATATATATATATATATATATACACATATATATACATATATATATATATATATATATATATATATATATATATATATATATATATATATATACATATATATACATATATATATATATACATATACATATATATATATATACATATACATATATATATATATATATACATATATATATATATATATATATATATACATATATATATATATATATATATATATATATATATACATATACATATATATACATATATATATATATATATATATATATACATATACATATATATATACATATACATATATATATACATATACATATATATACATATACATATACATATATATACATATACATATACTTATATATATACATATACATATACTTATATATATACATATACATATACTTATATATATACATATACATATACTTATATATATACATATACATATACTTATATATATACATATACATATACTTATATATATACATATACATATACTTATATATATACATATACATATACTTATATATATACATATACATATACTTATATATATACATATACATATACTTATATATATACATATACATATACTTATATATATACATATACATATACTTATATATATACATATACATATACATATATATACATATACATATACATATACATATATATACATATATATACATATACATATCAATGCATTTGTTAAGCCTATATCAGCCCTTCAGAGTACCCAGAGCTCGACAGCCACATAATTAGCCTCGTTAACAAACAAGCCTATTTGCCCTTTAGAGGTTAGCCCCGCCCTCTCACTTCGTTTCATCCGTTTCTGCATTTTTGTTGTGCATGGTTTATTTTTTCTTGCTATTGATGTTGTACTTTTTGTTTTGATTTTGATTTACACTGGAATGACCCTTTTTTTCCTACTAATTTTGATAAATAAAGCTTGCTTCCCGTTCTATACTGTTTTCATAACCTGTTTAACTCTTATGTTTCACTTTCTTGTCAGTATATTTGACAGCTCTTATTTTCCCGAACGCATTTTATGATATTATGATTTGCACTCACGGAAACGTCCTGATGTTCCTTTATATCAGTGATTAGGAAAGAAAAGAATAGTAACACTGGGCATCTGTAAAGCATTTTGTGACACCTCAGATTGTACTTTTCCTTATATATGTGTGTAGTAAGGAATAGAGTTAACGTAAACATATATATATATATATATATATATATATATATATATATATATATATATATATATACATATATATATGTATATATATATACATATATATACACACATACATGCATACACATAATAGAACACATAATAGAAGCAATGTTGGTTAATAAAGGAACTAGGGACACCCCAGGGAGGTGGAATCCTTCTGAGGTCCTCAACTCGCACCTTTCCTGATATTCAGTTACATGAAGGCGACAAATTAGGAGCGGATGTCGTTACAATTACGGTCTCTTCCTAATTACCTTTCAAATGACCAAAAAAGCCATTTTAATAATAACAATAAAAGTTTCTCGGCTACATATGGCCATCACCCATCAGCAGGAAGTGTAACTTCCAGGCAGAAAAAAAAACACACACTTAAAACAAAAATGTCTGAAGTTTAAAAGAAATAACGTCGAAATTTACAAATTTTCCTTGGTTTGAAGATCTGCTTACCATAGGTAGAAACAACAGTAGCACCAGTAAAAGTAAAATTAAATAGAAATGAAAAGGTAAAAGTAATTAGATATGAAAAGGTAAAATTAAAAATGAAAAGGTAAAAGTAATTAGATATGAAAAGGTAAAATTAAAAATGAAAAGGTAAAAAAGTAAAATTAAAGAAAAATTAAAATGATAATTAAAAATAAAAGATTTGAATCGTGACATTTCGAATTTCTCATACGACTAACAAATAACCAAAATGGATACACAAAGAGAATGTTGACACAGTCGAACCAAAGAATCTAGGAAGACTATAAGAATAGTATAAAGCATATAGCCTTCTGGCGACCCTCATCGTGTAGGTGAAGAAAGCACTATGTGAATTTATTCTAATCCCAGCTTGTAAATTTCAAGAGAAGCGCAAAGAATTGCGTGATAAATTCATCCTTCAAGTAAAGAATAGTAAACAGATCAATGGCACTGTACTTGAATAAGCAGAAACATTCACATGCATACGTGTGTTTGTATGTATCTCCATTTTTTGTAGTAATATTTGAGATGGATATGGAAACTAGGCAGCTTTTAATAATGGTTTACTCAAACTTTGACCGGCGTAGAGGACACAACCACGGATGTGCTGGACAGCACCGTCGTCGACCAGACAGGCAGGAAGCTGCTCAACACGGACGGGGATTTTTCGCCGGATGCGCCTGACGCGTGGTTCTGCTTGTGGACGTCGGTGATGCTCTGGTTGAGCGTCATCCCCGACGGGTCAAAGATAAGAGAAGGAATACTGTGCGAAGCTGTCCCAAACATCCTCGAGAAGTCCGGCCGATGATGCATCCCAACGGGGACACACTCTGTGGTACCGTCCTGAGACTTCACAACAGAGTCCTTAAAAGCCATCTTCTGGAGCCGGAGGTTCTGCGTCCGCGTGTGGAGGACCACAACTTCCTCCAACGCCGTCTCCTCAATAACGGATGACTTAGTAGGGAAGACGTCCAAGAGCCGCAATTTCCAGGGCGTCGCCGTAGTCCTTCGGGCGATGGTCGGCGCAGGCGGAGGTGTAGGCGTGGGTGTGAGTGGAGCGTTGATGCCCAGAAGCCTCACTGACGTACCCGCTGTCTTATCCGAGCTGGAGGATGGACTACAGGAAATGGGTACCTCTTCCTTCCTTGTCTATGGGAAAAGAAAATAATGTTAATGTAATGCCAAACACACACACACAAAATCAACCAACTATGTGCAGCAAGATTAAAACATAAAAATCCAATTTACCTGCAAACGCGCCTTCTGACAAAACAGCAGACACAGGCACACGGCAGCCACCATCGTTAGAAACACACACAAAACGAGCATTGTAATAATGGTTGCTGAGGACAACTCCATGCTGCTGTAGGATGAATTAAACAACTTGAGAACATCAGGTGAATGTATGCTTCTGGGGCTGAGACGTCTGGTATATAAACCACTCACATTAAAGGAACACGGGTATCTATGCAAGGATCCAAAGTCACCGATAAGGCGGTGAGGTAATAGAGGTTGAAGACTTGGACAGTTTTAAATGGCTATAACTGGAATTATTTTAGCGTTCTTAATATCAATTCTCATTATCGTTATTATCGTTATTATCGTTATTATCGTTATTATCGTTATTATCGTTATTATCGTTATTATCGTTATTATCGTTATTATCGTTATTATCGTTATTATCGTTATTATCGTTATTATCGTTATTATCGTTATTATCGTTATTATCGTTATTATCGTTATTATCGTTATTATCGTTATTATCATTATTATCATTTTTATAATTATTATCATTATTATCATTATTGTCATTATTATCATTATCATCATTATTATCATTATCATTATTATCATTATTATCATTATTATCATTATTATCATTATTATCATTATTATCATTATTATCATTATTATCATTATTATCATTATTATCATTATTATCATTATTATCATTATTATCATTATTATCATTATTATCATTATTATCATTATTATCATTATTATCATTATTATCATTATTATTATCATTATCATTATTATTATCATTATCATTATCATTATTATCATTATTATCGTTATTATCGTTATTATCGTTATTATCGTTATTATCGTTATTATCGTTATTATCGTTATTATCGTTATTATCGTTATTATCGTTATTATCGTTATTATCGTTATTATCGTTATTATCGTTATTATCGTTATTATCGTTATTATCGTTATTATCGTTATTATCGTTATTATCATTATTGGCGTTATTATCGTTCTTATCGTTCTTATCGTCATTATCGTTATTATCGTTACTATCGTTATTATCGTTATCGTTATTATCGTTATTATCGTTATTATCGTTATTATTGTTATTATCGTTATTATCGTTATTATCGTTATTACCGTTATTATCGTTATTATCGTTATTATC